TTGTATTTCTTGCAGGTCTCCAAGCACGGGAAACAAATGAAGTTGTTGAATAAAATTAAACTGTGAGACTAACTCACTATTATTTAATAAGGTAACTAAAATAATTTAATATACATTCGATTGTATTAATTCAACATAAATTAATCGAACATGCGTCTGTGTTCGCATAAATATACGTACAGGTATTTATGCAGACGCACTCACACGCGCGCACCTCCACCCTGTGCCGTGTCCACCCGGGGCCGGGGGGCCCCTCCTGCCGCGCTGCGCCCACGGGGAACCGCCGCGCACCTGCGGGAGCAGCCGAGCCGCTGCACCGCCCGTGGAAGCCCCTGGGGTGAGGGAGCTGGGAAGGGGGGGTGGGGGGGTGTTGATCCCACGGCTGCTGCTCTCTGGCCTGTGTGGAGGGCGCGGTATTCGGTTTTAAACCCGAGCACCCCCTCGGGCAGCGCGGTTCCCAGCCGGCCCACGCAGCAGCGGCACGGGCGGCAGCACACCAACACCCACCGACACCCCTCCCCCCAAAAAAATCCCACAGCCAAACTCTCATAACAACAAAAACGCCAAACCACCTAAAAACACCTTTGTGCATGCCACGGTTTTGGCATTTTTCTCTTTGCTAGTTTTGGGGAAGGGGAGGGAAGGGAAAGGAAAAAGGGAAGGGGAGGGAAAAAAGGGAAGGGAAGGGAAAAAAGGAAGGGGAAGGAAAAAGGGAAGGAGAAGGAAAAAAGGAAGTCAAAGGAAAAAGGGAAGGGAAAGGAAAGGAAAAAGGGAAGGGAAATGAAAAGAGAAGGGAAGGGAAGGGAAGGGAAGGGAAGGGAAGGGAAGGGAAGGGAAGGGAAGGGAAGGGAAGGGAAGGGAAGGGAAGGGAAGGGAAGGGAAGGGAAGGGAAGGGAAGGGAAGGGAAGGGAAGGGAAGGGAAGGGAAGGGAAGGGAAGGGAAGGGAAGGGAAGGGAAGGGAAGGGAAGGGAAGGGAAGGGAAGGGAAGGGAAGGGAAGGGAAACTGGGGGACACAGGTGCCAGCATCTTGCTGTTGCCACCTGCTACCTGCCCCATGGAAGGTGGAGGGCTTGTGGCTGCAGATATTAGGTGGTGACAGCTCTCTGCAGGTCACAGCTGCTAGCAAAGGCCCACCCTGAGCACCCAGCTGCAGTGTCTGCTGCTGTCGTGCCTCCTGATGCTCGGGTGTCGATCTCCTCCCCCCCATCTGGCATCTGATGAGAGCATCCTCTCCCTGAAGATCCTCATAGCTCTTGACTTTAGAGTCTATACACTTTTTGAATAAATGGTATCGTCAAGTTAAAATGTGCCCAGTGCCGGGCAGGTTATGGTTTACACCTACATACAGGGCTGAGGCCTGCAGCAGGGTGGAAGAGGAGATCCTCTGTAGCTGCACCTGAGCAGTGAGGGCATCTGCCTGATTTATGAACACTCCTCCCACACCACCACGGGTCCACTTGGGACAGGGCTTAGGGTTCTGCGGCACCCTGGGGAGGCTGAGGGTGGCCCTCTCCACAAGGGCATCTGCCCTCCGGGCTGGGTAAGAGCCCCGAGTGTGGGGTATCCGGATCCCCGCCGACTGGGGGGGGTGGGTGGGTGGTCGCCGGGGGCTGGAGATGGGTGGATGGTGGGGATGGTCCCTGTGGTGCCCTGCCAGCCAGGGGGTGCCCACCCCCCGGGCCCGTCAGGGAAAACGAGAGTCCTTGGGATGCAGGGGGGGTTTGAACAGGGTAGTTGGCTGTGCTGCAGGGATTTCTTCCTCTGGGTGGGTGGAGAGGGGAGAGGCCCTCCTTTTCTATTTAGTCTGATGCTCCGGCTGGGGAAAAGTAGCGCGAGGGTTTGCAAATTCAATGGGAAGCTATAAATGTCGGTAAGTCCCTTCGCTCATGCCTGGACACAACTGAAGCGGCATAGAATCATAGACTCATAGCACCGTTTGGGTTGGAAGGGACCTTAAAGATCGTCTAGTTTCAACCCCCCTGCCATGGGCAGGGAGAGCTTCCACTAGACCAGATTGCTCAAAGCCTCAGTGTCCGCCTCCCCGATCACGCACAGAGATCCCCGTGTCGCTTTGCGAGCACAGCTCGTGGGATATAACACGGGTGGGGCCGAGGCAGCGCTGGGGATCGGCCCCCAGGGACGGCGGGGAGGGCTGCAGCCACCCGTGGGTCGGCGTGTGCCTCGGGCAGGGGCAGCCGGGGAAATGTCTGCGTCCCCCCCCCCCGCCTGGGAACCAGCCTCTCTCGGAGATCTCGGCAGCCCGTTCCACGGGAGCCGTCCTGGCACCGCACCCCCCTGCGGCACACACCGCAGCCGGCCCGCGGTGCGCTGCCCGACGGCCACGGGAAAACCCGAGTGAGGGCAAAGGAGTGTCCCGCCAAGCGCTAAAGGATTTCCTTCTCCCGCCACAAGGTTTTAAAGGGTTTTGAACGGAGAGCAGAACGCGGAGCTGAGGGATGATGCGAGGTTTACAACGCTAGAAGCGCTCACCCGGGGGGGGGGGGGCGCGGGGCGGGGCTGGGGGCCTTGTACCCAAAGGTACATCCCCTGCCCACCGACCTGGTGTTTCTGCCTTCCCCGGAGTTCCTGCAAAGAGGAGCTGCCGGTGAGCTGGGGGGTGCGAGGAGAGACACATCCCTGTGTCTGGAGGGGTGAGAGGCAGAGCTGGGCTCCAGAGACGCGCACTCTTTGCGCCGCGGGCAAGTCCCTTTTTGCGGGAGGGGTCATCAAGCTCTGGACGCCTAACTACAAGTCTCACTGCTCCAAAGGCTGGGCACAGCCCAGAAGTCAGGCAGTGCAGCGTCAGGCCTTCTGGATGAATTTTGTGCTTCTCGGAGACGAGTGCTCTTGCTGCGAGCTGGGGCTATTCGATCAGTTTTCCTGGGGACAGGGTTTGTAGGTTTGGAAAAGGGTGGCAAGAAATGTCCCCCGGAATTTCCCAGCGATTACTTCTGTAGGAAAAAAGGACGGGAACCGCTCCCCTCGATCGGCTCTTCCCTGCGGCGTGGTTTCGGTTATCTCACCGTCCCTGCGAGCTGAGGGAAAAAGCGGTCCTCTCCCCGCCCTTGGCCTTGCGGGACGAGCGGTGAAGCTGGGGACACATCAAAGCCAAGGTCAGCTCCCGGCCTGGCTGCATTTTGGCTCTGCCGAAGCGGAGCGGCTGCCTGCCCCGGCCCGCCGGGGGGGCACCGGCCGGGGCGGAGCGGTAGCGGCGGCTGAGAGGTGCGATGCTCAATCACAGACGCGGAAAACATCCCCCACTCCCCGGGAAAAAAAAAAAAAAAAAAAAAAAAAAAAAAAAAAAAAAAAAAAAAAAAAAAGATTGATCCGCTTCCCTGCCTCTCTCCCGGAGGTGCTGGCTGCAGAGCCCGGGCTGCATAGCTGACCCCGAGCTGGCTTTCCACGCCGAGGGACTGACATCTGAAACATTACCCAGGGAGCTGGAGCGGCTCTGGCAGTGTCCCCCAGCTCTTCCCGAAAAGGTATCCCGGGAATCCTTTCCCTCCCCTGCCCTCCGAAGCCCTTGCAAAGAAAGCAGGACAGATGTGTTAGCTTAAGCACGAAACATCCGAGGAATTTCCACCAGGGAAAGCAACCCTTTCCGCAGGGCTGGCGGCGCTCCCCGCCGCGGCGGCCCGGGCTCCCCCCGGGGGGCTGGGGGGGGCCGGCAGGCGCAGCCCCCGGCGGGGCGTACCTTTAGGCATGGAAGCGTTTAGCGGTTTCGGCGGTATTAACTCCTAACAGGGTGTGAAAAGTATTGGGGATTGAGAAAGCTGTGGGAAAGTGGATCCTTTCCAAGTCGGGCGGGCTGGAGCTTTCCTCCCCCTCTGCAGGCGGACACCTTGTGCCGCTCCCGCCGCCGTGCCCCCGGAGGAGCAGCCCCTGCCCGGCAGCTGGGACCCAGGGGCAGCCCGGCAGGTGCGGTGCTTGACCCTGAGCTTTTAGAGCTGGCAGACACGGCGCCGCGTTGTGCCACCGGCCCGCTCGCCCCCGTCACCCTGTCAGAGTCACCTCGCCGGGGGCGGGAGGTGCCGCCGGGTGACGGCTCTGCCGAAGGGGCTCCGGTCTCGTCGGGAAGGGGCTTCCCGGCTTCTTCTGCTCCGGGAGCGGAGGCTGGGCCTTGCTTCTGCCTCCGGCCACCGCGGCCCCGCACCACTGCCCCCTTCCCGGGGACCCCTCGGGCCCCGCTGCTGCAGCCGGCCGAGGGGCGCCCGGACAAACCCTGCGGTCTCGTCTCTTCTCCAGACACCCTCTCGCCATTCTTTTGAGCCCCGGTACACCAATTTGGGCGTAGGGTTTTGTCTTTTTTTTTTTTTTTTTTATTTTATTTTTAAAGTGTGAACTGTCCGGAAAATAGACAGGGGACAAGTATTTCAGATCTGGTCAAATTTAATCAGCCGTTGACACTTGTGCTAACTAAAGCAGAGATTCGTACCACTGGCATGGACCTCCCCGAGTGACTATTACGACCCCGTAACTGGTGGCTACATTCATACTCTCCCTTTTCGGGGGGACGGGGGGGGGGTGTGGTTGGGTAAACAACGAAATTTGCAAAAAAAAAAAAAAAAAAACCAACCCAACAAACAAATTCTCTGCGGAGCAATCTTAAACCTCGGTGCCAAAATAAATCAATAATAAATCAATAATCAATAAATCAATAAATAAATAAATAAATAAATAAATAAATAATAAATAAATAAATAAATAAATAAATAAATCTAAAGAAAGTAAGTTTGCTTTCTCCCCGCCGGAGAAGACAGTGGATGGCGCAAGAGCTCGCTCCTGTCAACCTGCGCTCCCCGCGAGCACGGCTGCCTCGGGGAGATGGGGCAAAGCTGCGGGCTCCGGTGCCTCTGGCTCGCCCGGGCTCCCGGGCCCGGTGCTGGTACCGGAGAACGGGGTAGCAGAGCAGCCGCCGGGGAGGAGCATCCGAGGCTTCCCCGGGGAGGAGCGGTGCGCGGCGAGCTTCTGGGTGGGGAACCGAGCATCGCATCGCTTACCTGGCACGGGCAGAAGGCACAAAGAGAAAAACGCTCCTCTGGGAAGAAAATAAATCCGAATCCTCCTCGAGTACTCACGGGGCCGCGGCCCGACCGGGTCCGTGGGGCAGCGGCGGGGCGACGGACCGGCGGCGGCTTCGCTCCCATCCGTGGGGCAGGGAGGGAGCGGCCACGGCGGCTGCTTTGCCCAGCGGTTCCCAGGAACCCCGAGGTAAAAAGGCAGGCTCCTCCTGTGAAGAAATCCATTTCTGAGCATCAGAGAAAGATTTTAAACAAATAAGGAGAAAAAAGCGCCCCCCCCCCCTCCGACCTGTGATTGAGGAACAGTTAAAAATAATTGCCCGTGTTAAGAGGCAGAAGACCAGGTTACAGGGAAAACTACCTTCTTTCAAAGCCCGCTAATGGCCATACCATTCATTAGGTTACTTAATCCTAATAACCTCGCTAGCATCAGTCCCGGTGACCCAGCCCATTAAGCACCACCAGCGAAACCCTATAAAACAGGCAAGGGGAATGTCCAACATATGAGCACATTTATTAGCATTATGTTACTGAGATAACATGCCCCCGGCTCCCCTGCATACCGCTGCAGGCAGGTTGGGGAAAGAGGGAGCTCTGTTTTGGGAAGGGTTGAGCGCAGGACCAGGGCTCCGGGAGAGGGATGGCTGGTCCCACCGTCACTGTCACCCACGGTCTCCCGTCCTCTCTGCTTTTCTCCTTCGGTTCCCATCTCTCCAGCCAAACAATAGCTACATTTGTGGTGAGCATTTTTTCCCTCTGATTAAACCCAGGCCAACCAATGGCAGCCAGAACGAAACAAAACGCACAGAGTAACATTTCGATCATTAACGGGAGTTAACAGCTCAAAAAGAAAAAAAAAAAAAGAAAAGGGGGGGGGGGGGGGAGGAAAGAAAAGAAAACGGGCGAGGAGGGGGAGAGGAAGACAAAAAGGCTCCCTTCCACGAAACGTGTCAGTGAGTCATTGCGATAACACCCTCCGTGGAGGAGGCGGCTGAGGGGGAGACAGGGAAAAGGGAAATCAGGGAAGCAGCAAGCGCGGTTCCTCCCGTGTCTCCCAGCGCCGCAGACAAACCGGACGCCTCCCCGGCATCTCCCTGCCAGGGTGAGGTCTCCCTAATTTATGACACGCGAGTTGTCAGGGCATTTGCCGCGGCTCGGAGCGGGGCTGCTCGGGGCGCAGGCACATACGACTGATCAGGGGAGCCCCCCCCCCCCCCCCCCCGGCCGCTGCCAGCTCGGCGCCCCGGCGGGCTGAGCCTCCCCCCCCCCCGCCCTCCCCGGGGAGGCAGCGCCGCTCCGCTCCCGGCTGGGGATCGCCCCCCTCTCTCCCCCCGCGTCCGAAGTTAAATCCTTCCCAGGAACTGCAGAGGAACAAACTGTCTTCAAACTCTGACTCTCCACAATTCTCCTACCAACACCTTTTTTTTTTTTTTTACTTTTTTTTTTTTTTTTTTCCCCCACCCTCCCGATTTCTGGAGAAAAATCCGCCCAGAGACAGCGGGATGGCGTTGTTTGCACTCTGGTCGCACGGTTAGAGATGCCGGCCCGGGGTAACGCGGGGTCCCGAGACACACCGGCCCCAGGCCCCCAGGCCCCAGGGCCGGGGGGAGCGAGCGGGCAGGAGCCGCAGCGCACTCCCCGGAGCCGGGATCACTCCCGGTTGAAGGTGGCCAGGAAGCGTCCAGCCCTCACAGAAAGCTGACGCGATCCCTCGCTGTTTTAGCAACAGTTTTAACACGCTGGCAGCGATGAAAGAAAGAAAAGCGGTGGGGAGGGAACCGCAGCGCCCTGCCGAGCTGCCCGTCCCCGGTGCTGCCGGCTCTGCGGAGGCTCTGCCGGTGATGAACCCTGCGGGCTGCTCCCGCCAGCTCTGCCACGGTGGGGCTGGGGTAGGGGTGCGCCCTGCGACCTGCCCCACACCTCCGCAACTGACAGCGTTTCTGGCATTAAACCCTTTTGCTCTTTTTTTTTTTTTTTCTTCTTTCTTTCCTCAAGGGCTTTTTTAACTCGTAAAATGTTGCTCTGGCTTGGAACTTGTCATAACAGGAGCCTGCTTTATTTATTGTGTTATTTATTTCTTTTACACGCAACAACAATACTCCAAACACAGTCCGTTTGAAAGAAGGAGTTTCCAAAAACAAGAAAGAAAGGGACTGAGAGAGGGAAAAAGAAAAAGTGAAGTCGAGAAAGAGAGAGAAAGAAAGAGAAAAAGAGAGAGACAGAAAGAAAAAGAGAGAAAGAAAAAGAAAGAGAGAAAGAAGAAGAAAGAAAGAGAAAAAGAAAGAAAGAAAAAGACAGGCAGAAGAAAAGGCAGGGAAAGAAAGAAAGAAAGAAAAGCGGAAAGAAAGCAAGAAGGAAAGCAGGAAAGCAGGAAAGCAGGAAGGAAGGAAGAAAAGCAGAAATAAATAAATAAGAAAGGCAGAAAGAAAGAAGAAAGAAAGAAGAAAAGAAGAAGGCAGAAAGAAAGATAAGAAAGAAGAAGAAAGAGAAAGAAAGAAAAGAAGAGAGAAAGAAGAGAAAGAGAGAGAGAAAGAAAAGAGAAAGAGAGAGAGAAGAAAGAAGAAAGAAGAGAGAAAGAAAGAGAGAAAGAAAGAGAGAAAGAGAGAAAGAAGAGAGAAGAAGAAGAAAGAGAGAAAGAAGAGAGAAAGAAAGAGAGAAAGAAGAGAGAAAGAAAGAAGAAAGAAAGAAGAAAGAAAGAAAGAAAGAAAGAAAGAAGAAGAAGAAGAAAGAAAGAAAGAAAGAAAGAAAGAAAGAAAGAAAGAAGAAAGAAAGAAAGAAGAAGAAAGAAAGAGAAAGAAAAAGAAAGAAAGAAAGAAAGAAAGAAAGAAAGAAAGAAAGAAAGAAAGAAAGAAAGAAAGAAAGAAAGAAAGAAAGAAAGAAGAAAGAAAGAAAGAAAGAAAGAAAGAAAGAAAGAAAGAAAGAAAGAAAGAAAGAAGAAAGAAAGAAAGAGAAGAAAGAAAGAAAGAAAGAAAGAAAGAACAGAAAGAAAGAAAGAAAGAAAGAAGAAAGAAAGAAAGAAAGAAAGAAAGAAAGAAAGAAGAAAGAAGAAGAAAGAAAGAAAGAAAGAAAGAAAGAAAGAAAGAAAGAAAGAAAGAAAGAAAGAAAGAAAGAAAGAAAGAAAGAAAGAAAGAAAGAAAGAAAGAAAGAAAGAAAGAAAGAAAGAAAGAAAGAAAGAAAGAAAGAAAGAAAGAAAGAAGAAAGAAAGAAAGAAAGAAAGAAAGAAAGAAAGAAAGAAGAAAGAAAGAAAGAAAGAAAAGAAAGAAAGAAAGAAAGAAAGAAAGAAAGAAAGAAAGAAAGAAAGAAAGAAAGAAAAGAAAGAAAGAAAGAAAGAAAGAAAGAAAGAAAGAAAGAAAGAAAGAAAGAAAGAAAGAAAGAAAGAAAGAAAGAAAGAAAGAAAGAAAGAAAGAAAGAAAGAAAGAAAGAAAGAAAGAAAGAAAGAAAGAAAGAAAGAAAGAAAGAAAGAAAGAAAGAAAGAAAGAAAGAAAGAAAGAAAGAAAGAAAGAAAGAAAGACAAGAAAGAAAGAAAGAAAGAAAGAAAGAAAGAAAGACCAAGAAAGAAAGAAAGAAAGACCAAGAAAGAAAGAAAACCGAGTAAGAACCACTCATGCCAGCCCTTCAAAATTAAAACAAGAAGTCCCGAAGAATTCTTTTTGGTATTAATATTACTTAACATTTTAAACTCCGGGAACTTCAAACAAACTTTTTGCAGGGAAAAGAAAGAGAAAAGAACTATTCTCTGGAAACCATTTGTTCACAACTCAAACTGTGCCATTTTGGCGTACAAACAAAACTCGAGACGCCCAACCCTGTCCCCTCCTCCCCCCGGCATCTATCTTTTCAGCACACATTTTAAAATAAATACCCTTACGAGTCTTTCCAGAATGCCTCCTTGTTATGAATTGATAGGATACAACGTACCCCAGCTGTGCGCCTGGAAGTTGGGATTTAGTTCTTTAAATACCAGGACAACATCTCAACATCTGCAGGGAAAACAATTACGGCTGCTTCGGCCCCCCTCCATTACGCGCTGCCGGCCGGTTTTCGGGGGGGGGGAGATGCTGCGGGGGTCAGGGGGGGCCCGTCCCTGCGCTCGGGAGATGTGCGGAGGCCCCGCGGGCAGCGGGCAGATAACCCCGGGAAAGACCCCCCAGATGGTCTTTGCTCCGGCGAAGGAGAAAATCATCTTTTTTTTTTCCTGACTCTCCCTTTTGATTTTAGCACGCTTTTCGTCCCGCTACTCGGCAAGTAATAATAAACCCAAGCAAATTCAGGACACCAGTCTCCACAGAATTTAATAAAATAGCGAAAAGATTGCCAAGGTGTTGCTCGGAGGTGTCCGGCTTGGGAAACACCGGGCGAATCTGACATGTTTTTCGTCCTAACCGGAGATTAATTCAACCTCGAGGATATTTTCGTAGGACGTTTACTTAGTAAAGTTTTCCTATACCTATTTTGTCTGATACGAGTGTCTATAATTAAAAAAAAATTGCAGAAAGTATTTACAGTGTGATCTCCTGTTTTGGAGCTTACAACAGGTGTCCGAGCCCTCTGTGGGGGGAGTTATATAGATACATGTCTCTACATATGCACAATTAAATAAAACGACGAATTTGACTATTTTAAACCATACGTGTGCTAAAGGAATAACAGAGAAACCTTAACGTTTTAAACACCTTCTGTGCTTATACAACTCAGACTCAGTCAGAATATATGAGTTTATCATGTTTCAATCTCTGTTTTCTTGTCGCTTTTATGAGACGTTGCAGTGGGAACTACCACTGCTTGTCTATAATAAAATGTACTCTTAATCTTAGGTTATTGTATGTCCTCTTAGGACTGGACAGGTCAAAAATACCTTTGTTTTCAAAAATAAGAAAGATGCGCGAGTAATGGCATTGCAAATGACGTAATAAATATAACAGCATTGACAGCTATTATGATGATCGGTCATCAAAAATAAAAAAGTGTGACTAAGAACATGCTTGAGGTGATTTACCTCTAGAAAATGAGTTACAGCTAGATTATGCGCCTCCTCGCCTCCCTGCACCCAGTGTGATACTCCCTTCCCTCAGCCAAGAAGGGAAAAAAAAAACCAAACAAAAATAACCAAAACTCAAACCAAAACTCTGATCTCGTTGTCCGGCAAGAAACATCATTTTTAGCAGATGTTTTACAGAGTGGGAGCCAGCGACTAAAAAACACTGAGGACCCTTAACCCAGGGCGATGCAAAGCTCTCTTATCCATATCCCAAATATACGATTATGTCCAACTACTCCTATAGCTAACGCCTAACGCACCAGCGGGGTCTTACTCTGGGTCACGGAGGGAGGATGCGTATAAACCCCTCACAGCCAGGTTGCTGGTTGTTTTAGGGAAGCTCCAGAAAGTTTAAAAAATATGCCTGAGGATATTTTTCCCTTTTCTTTGGCACCCGCCCGCTCGGCCGGTGCAGACGCCGCCGCGCCAGGCACCGGGTGGGCAGAGAAAAGGGGGCTCCGAGGGGGCCGGACCGGGGGTCCCCGGCCACCCCCTCACCCCCGCCGGCAGATGCGCGGAGAGCCCGCGGAACCCCCGCCAGGGCGCAGCCCGGCAACCCCTGCCCGGCCGCGCAGGGAGGGGGCAACCCCCGCCTGCGGGAGGCTGCGCTCCAAACCACAGGACGGCTTGTCTCTCCTCCCTTTCCCCAGACCCCCCCGCTGCACTGGGACACCCCCCCCCCCGGAGTCAAGCCCGAGCCGGTTCCCCAAAGACAAACTGCCTGTTTCAGAGCTTCTGAAATTCCCATCCCGGCCCCAGGACACAGCGCACACGACGAGGATGCTGCGCGGCGGCGGGAAGGATGTCAAGGTATCCCCGACGCGGGGTCTGGCAGTGGATTTAAGGAAAGGGTGTAATGAAATCCCGAAAGTACACGCAGGTCCCTGCAGTGCCCACGGCAAGGCGGGTTCCGGCGGGGACAGGGGGTCCCGGCCCCCGCGGTGCTGCCCCGGGCACACCCCGACGAGCGCGGCCGCGGAGCTCAGGTAGCGCCGAACCACGCTTTGGCATTTTTTTTTTTTTTTTTTTTTTTTTTTTTTTTTTTTTTTTCCGCCGGAAAGCACCGAATCCACACGCAGACGATGGCAGATGGGGACCGAGGGGTTGCCTTGCCCCTGTCCCCGCCCTGCCTCCCTCCCTCCCGCCGCAGGAGCTCCCCAAGCCTGCCTGCCTCTCCGGGAGGATGGATGTGCTTCATGCCCCTACCGCGCGTGGAAACCCAGGCCATCCTGCGAGCGACGTGTTGCCTAAATAAAGATAAAACGTGCTATACGTCACAGGCTTTCCCGGTTATTCTCAATGACTTGTCGATTCCTCTCCTTCACCCCCCACCCCACCCCACCCCGGCACACGTGCAATGATAGAAAATGGTTTTAAATGACGAGGGGTCACGTAGAGCCATCCTGATCGTTTAGTAAAAATAACAGAGCTATTACAGAGCTGAAGGAAGGAGCTGGGGAGTCCATCCGCACATGCTTCAATATTGTGACTCGACTGAAACACACACACAGAGGCATGCATATATATATATATATATATATATATACACATATGCATATATCTATATCTGCAGCCGGACCATCCTACGTGAGTCCCCTCAGCACCGTAGGCCGTAAATGCGCGCACAGATGACGGTTGCACGCCCATGTGTGTCGGAGCAGGGAGGGATGCAGAGGGGCTGCTTGTATCCTTGTATCTCCGGGATAGAAATGCACATAAAGCTTTTTATGAGGACTCGGGAGACAGCATTTACTCACTAACCTACACCTTTTTTTTTTTTTTTTTTTTGTTTCCATCTCTATTGTCAAAAACTGTAAATAATTAAATTCTTTAAAGGTTTACTTTCGAAACCGTGGCTGAGGTAAACTATGATTCAGGTGTAAATAATTACCAAAGTCATGAAAACAGCAACTGCTACATGTGGTTTATTCATTGTTTGCTTGCTTGCTTTTTTTTTTATTTTATTTTTATTTTTTTTTTTAAATCGTTTGATCATTTTAATCCTTAACTGTTTGCCAAATTCACATATTTGTAATTTACTAAACTTTATCGTCCCTACCACGATAGGGATGTTGAACACTAGATTCTAGAGCTGTCATACCCTGCCCCGGTGGAGGAGCCTGGCTGGAACAAACTGGATGCTCCTCAAGAAGGGATAACGTTATTACCCCGGTATTTGGAAAAGCTTTCCATATCAGATTAGAGAAATTAGAACTGAATAAAAGATGCTTCCCCTTTCATAAACGCTACCAGACCTACTCTGTTTTAGACTCCGGAGGAGAAATGAGTTATTGAAAAAAATAAATTGTTTAAACACAATAGATTCATGCCCAAATGAAATCATTCCCTGGGGAAAGACAAGCAGGATTTGGCCCGAGAGCACGAAAATGGAAGTATCCATTAAGTGAAAGCCTTAGAGAAATACAAGAAACATGGACTTATAATATACACTATATAAACAAAAGCCCAGGATTGATTTCATCCCCGTTTTCTTCAGCCTGTGCCTACTATTATTTTTTTTTTCTTTTTTCTTTTTTGCTTTTGACTATGCTGCAATTTCAACCCATTTGTCTCTTCAGAAAGCTATGGGGGGAAAAGGCAGAGAAACAAACTTTTTTTCTTGCGTGTGTCCTCTTTTAAAATCTTTTTTTTTGCATAGTAAGACACCACTTGAACATGTTCTGGTATTGTAAAAGTGTTTTTTATCAGGCTGTAAATTACTGCCCCTCTGACGGAGCAGCCGGAAATGTAAATCACACCGTAGAGCAGAAGTTATGAAAAAGTTTGTTCCCTTTTCTGCATCCCAGGAAGATCGCGGGGTTGATGGATTGGGAAGGGAGGGGGGAGGCTTGTTTACTATTTTCCTGCCCCACCAAACTGTTGGCTCCACGGTGCCTGGGACTTTGATGAGAAAGAATGGACAATGTGCAGAGTCCCTTCCTATGACACCCAGGCCACCGCCACTTGGGAGGTCCTTTGGCCTAATGCAACCACATCTAACTGCTCCCAACAGGAGGCTCTGTGGATCAGGCAGGGTCACAATTATACTTCTGCTAAAGGCAAGAGAGCCTTTTTTTTTTTCTTCTTCTTTTTTTTTTTTTTTCCTCTTTTTTTTTTTTTTCCTCTTTTTTTTTTTTTTTCTTCTTTTTTTTTTTTTTTTAAAAAAAAAGAGAGAGAGAGAAAAAAAGGGAGGGGGCTGGGCGAGCGGTTGAATTAAAGCCTTTCAATTCATCTGGGGAAGGAAAGACCGAGAGCGGGGTTAGTAGGAACCGTTTCCAAGAGGCATGAGCAAAATCAGGTTGTTTCCATCCAGAGGAAAGTGACAGGGGATGAGGTCTGGACGCTCGGCACGGGGGTTACCCCGACCCCGGCGCTGTCACGCCAAATCGCCTGTCGGGAGCGGCAGGCCCCCACGGCGGCCGTGATAGCGGTTTGGGGGGGGCGGGGGGGGCTCATCACACCATCACATGTGCACCGCTCCACTGAGGAGGGGAGGAGAGGGGACCACAGCCACAGCCCGCAACAAGCCCTTAAACATCACCCATTTGCGGGGAGAAGGGGAGGGGGGGGACATCTCTGATTTCGGCACTCGGGGGGGGGGGGGGTCGAATATTTTTCAGGAGTCCTGGGGGGAAGGACGGGAGGGTTGCGCGTCTCGAAGCGGGTGCGGAGTTAAATCCCGTGCTCCTTGCCGTTTACTTGCAGCAGTGAGGAAAAGCCGAGGCGGGGGTGGGTGAGGGGGAAGGCGGCGGGGCTCCCCACCTCCGCCGCTTCCTGGGGCGACGGCTGCCGGTACCGGCGGTGGCAGCGGCGCCCCCGGGTGCGCCAAGCGCCCGCCGGCTGCCCTCCTCTCCTCCGCCCGCTCTCCCTCCCGTCCCCGGTTTTCCTTTAAAGCCCCGAATTCGCCCCCGCTCCGTTACCCTTCCCCGGGAACCTCCATCCCCTCCGGGACGGGGGCTTGGGGCCGAGCCGGCTCCTGGCTGCTGCCTCCTGCCGCGGCCGGCGGGGCAGGGTGGGGGGGTCCCACCTCGGCCTCCGCCCCCCCCCCCCCCCCCCCCGTCCGTCTGGCCTGGGGCAGGGGGATCCCCCTCGCCGCCCAACTCCGTGCAACCCCCCCGCCGCGCCCGCACCCCCCCCCCCGCCTCCCGTCAGGCAGCGAGACCTGACCGTGGGAGGGGGGGAAGGGCTCCGGGGACCACCCCACCCCACCCCAGCCCAGGCCGCTGGCCCCGGTCACCCCCGCCGCTGCCCCCGCTTACCTGGACGAGGCTCCCCGTGCTCGGCGGCGTGCTCGCAGCGGGCCGGGGGCGAGAGGGGAGGCCTGGGCCCCCCCGGTGGGGAAGGGCCCTGTTATGGGCCCCCCCGCACCCTCGAGAAATCCGGCGGGAGGAAGAGAGAGGGAGGAGGGAGAGGGAAAGCCTTTTTTCCTCCCCCCCCTTTCTCTCCCCTTTTGAGCCGAAGTGACCCGCTGTATCTGGAGAAGGTTTTTGAAGACGTTTGGGAGGGAGGGAGAGAGTTTTCTGCTGAGAAACTCAATCTGCCATACAGTAGCGGCTGCATCTGGGATCTGTCACCGCTGACAGCACCACAGGGCACAGACATGATCTTCCGCACAACACTGCAACTCCCCAAAATACCCTCCTCGCTCCCAAGGTGTCTGCCGGGCTGCATCGCGCTCCTTCGCCAAAAGGGGGAAAGCAACCTGAATCCCAGGCAAACAAACACACCGACGGGAAGGCGAGAGAGAGCTATCCCCACCCGTCCCCCTCCCCCTTCCCCTCCGCAGCGTTAAACACGCGGCCGCCGAGGAAGCGGGGCGAGAGGCGATGTCATGCTCGGATGGCGCAAAGGCCATAAATGTAAGCGCCAGCGCCGCGAGATTCCCGAGAATGACTTTAATGAATAATTTCGGAGACAGTTATGGCTTTAGGTAATTACTGCGCGGCTCTATGAAAACCAGATTTGGGAGAGAGGCAGTCAAGGCCGGGCCGTGTGCCTGGGCTCGCCCCTGCCAGCCCGCCCCGGTCCCTTCCCGTCCCCTCCCCCCCCGCCACTGCTCAGCCCCCGGACCCCCGGACCCCGGACCCCCCCCCCCAGCTGCTGGGTTCCTCCTTCGGGCAGGGCGCCCAGCAGACCTGCAGAGGCTTGGCGGGGGGGGGGGGGGGGGGAGAGCTAATATTATCATTATTATTATTATTTTTAATATCTTCCGCCTCTCGTATTTTCTGGCAGGACATTTCATTGTCTTTTAGGCCAGTTTTAGAAAACTGCTAAGGGTTTGCATGCGTATTTAGCTTTTTAAAAAGTTCGTTATACGCAGCTGTTTCAGCCTATAGCCACATATGGCATGCAAATAGAGACCCCTATAGGAGAATCGTCCTCTCTATTATCCCCACATGTTTGTTCAATATACGTGGCCGGGAAAACGGCTCTACTGCTATACATTAAAATACAATTTTACATTTTTCTCCCGAGTACTTCGGGCAACGCAGGGGCTCATTCCTGCTTTGAACAGCCTTCACGGTTAGCAAACAGACGGCTCGGAGGCGCGGGCGGGCCGATCTCCATTGTTCCGCTGACACACCGCTGCCAAAAAGCCCCCAAAGCCCCGCTCCCGGCTGAGCCGCAGCCCCAGCCCGTCCCCAGTCAGAACTCTCCCGTAAAGCCCAGCGATGGGGTTTGTTGGGGGACTTTCGGTTCGGGTTTGTTTCACGGGTACTTTTGAATTGTTGTTTGGTTTGGTTTGGTTTTCCCCTTTACTTTTACTTTAGTTTTTTCTTCACTTTTTTCTTTTTTTTTTTTTTTTTTTTTTTTTTTTTTTTCCCGCCTCATGCTCGAGCCCTGGGGTTGGTGGCTGCGGTGAGAAGCCAAGCTCACAGCGTAGCGTTTGCACTGATTCAGAAAGGAAATGTTCCTTTTCCTTTAGAGATTACAGACAGACACAGCGGAGCATTGTGGTATTTTAGGGAGTTTATTTTATTTTATTCTGCTAGAACAAAGAAATGGAAGCGTATTTTTTATTGATTTATTTTTAGGGTCACTCGAGGCTTTTTTTTTTTTTTTTTGTCCCCTCTTGGCAGGCGTATTTTACCCCGAGAATTTAATCCTTCAGACAAATAGTCTAACATTATCTCTTTCCTCGGGAGACTAGATCAACTGCTTTCCCATCCACCCCCCCCTTCCTGGTAGTAGCACTGATTGTAACGTACAGCTGGACAAGTGTCAGCCGTCCAAGACTTTGTGAACAGCCGGCAGAGGCTCAAGTATTTATTCAATTATTATTTTTTATCCCTTGGGGATTAAAAAAAAAAAAAAAAAAAAAAAAAAAAAAAGAGTGGTACGAAACGTACGAAATCGTAAAGTAGAAAGTTTGTGAAAATAAGCGTGGCAAACGTGATCTTTGGTCCCGCCGAGCCAGGGCTACCATGCTGGCTGTCGAGCGTTACCGTCAGCCAGCCCCGGCTCTCAATTAGAAGCGATTCATTAGGATTTAATAGCAGGTGCAAAGCCATGTCCTCGCCAGCAGCACTGCCGTTTGGGTAGGGAATCGCCTGGTTTTACAGCAGCCTCCAGCTCTCCGCCTGGTTGTAAACCTGACTACCACTTTGGCTAGCAGGGTGTCAGCACGCCTGCGACTGCCCTGCGCCTCTAAGCGTTGCACTTTGCTTGGCTAATTTCTCCCTGCCAAGACATAAGGTGGAAATCTGCCTGGCTCGATGTTTATTTTGGAAGCCAGCGCTGTGAGCGAATCCGCCGGGAGAAGTGGGGCTGAGATAAAGCAAAGCGCTGGGCGGGAGGCGGCGGGGGGGGGTGGGAGGCGATGAAGCGCGGGGGGGGGGGGGGGGGGGGGCAGCACCGCCCGCGGAATGCCCCGCTCTTCCTTTCCTAAAGTCCCAAACAGACAAATAAACAAACAAGTTCGGCGGCGAGCTCCAGAAGAGCCGGAGGCTCCGGGGGCTCAAGGCCGAGCTGTGCTGAGGAGCCTCGGGGGCGGGAGCGCCGCACCCGCACCCAGACCCGCACCCGCACCCGCACCCGCACCCACACCCACACCCACACCCACACCCACACCCACACCCCCGCTGGCGGCCGGGGCCGGGGCTTGGAAAGCGCCGCCGTGATTACACCCAAGTGGAGAGCAGGATGGCTCCTAGCCGTCTGATCTGACGTCAACATGTCTCTAGCTCCTCGCTGCAAGATAGAGGGAGCAGAGCCGGCGGAGGGAGGGCTCTAATCATTCCCAGATGTCTCTAATAGCAGATATAAAGACTTATATAGTGTCTGAGAATAAATTTGTAATCAATGCTCTACAATCGGATCATCAAAGCAACGACATTTCTAGAGGAAAAGGGGGGAAGGGGGGGGGGGGGGGGAGCTGGGGAAGAGGGAGACACACACCACACTGGTTTGGAAGGGGGAGAGGGGGGCACAGGGATTCCCAGAGAGGCGCTGGCCCCGCGCATCGCCCGGCTTTGCTAGAATTTATGTGAATATGTAATTCAGATAACAACTCTGCTTTAATCTCCATTGTACGAGAAGAGCTGAAGCAGATGAACAGTAATTGGCCAATTAGAAATAGAAAAGATCAGAGCTCGTTTGCAAAGGCACATATTTCATGGCCCTCAAAAAAAAAAAAAATCCCAAATTAAAAATATATAAAACATTGATAAGCCCCTCGTTACAGCAGAGGGGATTATGTCTGCAGGCGTGCGGAATGCGTTTCCTTCCCATCGCTACTTGAAGGTTTCTTCTGGGTGTATTTGTGAGTCGCTGGGCGAGTACGTGTGAAAAAGGAGGATTAAGGTTAGGTTTCCAAAAGCAAAAGGAGGATATTTGGCTTAAAGGTTTTATTATTAACCTTCTTCCCCCCTCCCCGCCCACCTTTCAAGCTCAGCTCACGTTGTTTCGATGGCATCCCCTGGCTGTGTTTATATCCTTAGAGTTGCCCGCGGATGTCTCAGAGCTTGTTCTAGGGGTGTCTGCGGCTTGGCCGGAGAGGCCCCGTTACACCTCTTTGACAACGATAGCAAATTAGCACTAATTTTTGCAATAATCTCTTGACTCAGCGAAGAGCTCCTGGGAACGAGGGGGTGAAAAAAAAAAAAAAACAAACCAAAAAACCCCACACAACACAAATCAAAACGAAGAAAAAAAAAAGCCCCGCCACGGTTTATCTTCCTTGCCTGCAAGAATGCAGGCATGCCATGCACGTTAAAAAAAAAATAAAAAAAAAAAACAAAAAAAAACAAAAAAAAAAAAAAAACAAAAAAAAACAAAAAAACAAAGCGGGGACAGGACTGGTGGTCCCGCACGTTACAGGGACACCCCCCCCCCCCCCCCCTCCAAACCCAGTACGGCCAGCGGCTGCCTGGGACCGCTGCTGGCGGCAGGGCACCGGCCCGGCCCCTCGCTGTCTCCCCGCTCCCCTAAAACCCCGACGAGCTCTAAGACCCCACGCTGATATCTGCCTAAACTGGACGCCCCCGGGTCCCCGCGGTACACGCCGCCTCCAGGGAGGTCCTCGCCTCCCTCCGGGGGGGAGCGGCCGCCGTGTTTCGGGAGTGCGGCCGGGCCCCCACCCCGGGGAGCCGCGGGGACGCTCCCTGGGAGGGCAGGGGAGGCGGGACGCCACCCGGGGGAGTTTTGTTGCCGTTTCTCTTCTTCAAGGGGGAAAAAAAAAAAAAAAAAAGAAATTAAAATGTTATTTTCTCTTGGGTCAGAGCAGAGAGCCTCACTCTGCAAGCTGCGAAACGAGGCGACTGGCTAAAATACGAGTAAATTTGAGCCGTGAGCCCGTCTGCGGTGACAGGACTCCGACGACCCGGCTGCACTCCACCGGCCCCCCTGCCCTCCTCTCTTTCCTCCTCCCCGCCACTCTCACAGGGCAGAGAAATGTTGCAGAGGGGGACAGGCTGCCTTTCACCTCTGAAAAAGCTCCTACAAACTCTTTGGGCCCGAGGAATTACCGGGCAGGCGGGTGATGCCCCCCGGGTGCGGGCAGGGTGCTCCGCTGTTATCAGGCCTCGGCTCCGCTGGCGGAGAGCTGGGGCCAGGGCACTGACATCACCATCTACCATCAATTTACCTTCTGCTTCCCCATTTAGCTTTTAACGTCAAAACCTACATTTTTGTTGGCTCCGGCCTGTCTAGGGCTCTTGTGATTTAGCTGCGGGAATGGCTGCTTCCGAGAAAATGACAACATCCTAATTAGCGAGCAATTAAAAGCGATCCTCCTCAGCGGATTCAGAGGAGCTGCCGGTTCTGAGAAATTAACGTTTCAAAACCCGAAAATTATTGATGGGGAAATATCGGAGAGGCCGGTTCTCCGGGCGGCGGGGCCGGGGTGCGGAGCCGCCCGCCGCCCCCGGGCCCCGCCGCGCATCCCCCGAGGAAGCTGCAGCCCGGAGACTCGGTCGAGAGGAAGACACAGCATCTGCAGGGAAGTTGCTCGGGCCGTGCCACACTGCAGCCCTCGCAGCCATCCCTCGACCCCCCACTTTTTTTTTTTTTTTTTCGTGCAGTAAAAAAAAAAAAAGAAAAAAAAAAAGAGGTTTGGGCAAGAGGGTGAGTGCGAGATGCTCCAATTTATCAGCTGGGCAACTAACAGGCAAGCAAAAGCAAACAAGAGGGGAGATTCTTCTCTCCAAGTGTTATAAACAAAGGCAAGTGTCTGTAAACACAGACCCACGCCGGAGCGCAGAGCCGGGCTGCCTGACCCGACGGGAGGGAGGGCACATCACTTTTGTCTGGTTGTTGTAACCCCGCAACCTCCCCACTGTCAGCAGGGGCGGCGAAACGGCGCGGGGGCTCCCTTATCTTTTTATGGGCAATTGCACATCTACCTACGCTTAGCGCCGGGTCTCGTCGGGAGCCACTTCCTTAGGCGCGGCAGCAGGGGAAGGCAGGCAGGTATGCAGCCCTTGGACCTGGAGAGAGAGCCAGCTTGGTTTAAGTCGAGATGATTTAAGTAAGGGTTTAAAGTACGAACCCGAATTTCATTATGGGAAAGGTTCAAAACCTTGCGCTTCACCGGGAATTGACAAAAATACCTAGAGCAGATTCTTTATGTAAAAAGCTCGATTTTTTTTTTTTTTTTTTTTCCTTTGCCTGCCTGCGGTACGGAGGGATGCCAGGCATTTCCCGGCGCTAAATGTCTGCAGCTCGTCCCGGCACCGGGGAGCAGAAAAGCCACCGGCTTGGCACCGGGACCCTTGTAAAGGAGTTGGCAGACGAGGCGAGAGGTAACTGAGCAGATAGGAGGGAAGGAAGATCATACGGGAGCGGCAGATGAACGTACGAAAGAGCCAGAGCCAGGGCTGCGGCAGTTTGCAGTCAGAAAAAAAAAAAAAAAAAAAAAGGTTAAAACCCAATAATGCTCGCTGTGGTGGACTGGAAACGTGCAACCCTGGAGAGTTTTGGGAACCACAAAGTTAATATTAAGTTCACCGTAGCTCATTGTAAATCTTACATATTCCCTCCCTGCCCCCCCCCCCCCCCGCCTCCGTCGTCCCGTCCTCCTCCCCTCTCCCCCCCACCCCGCCTCGCAAATCCCTTGCCTTGTTCGCTCTTTCTTCCTTGACGTAAAATTACCTGCTCAATAATCACTCCGAGCAAAGCCCTCCGGCCTCCCTGGCCGGCCCTCGCCCCCCCCCCCCGCCCCGGGGAAGCCGCCCCCGCCGCTCGGCCCCGGCTCCCGCCAGCGCCTGGCACCGCCGCCGCGCCGGCTCCGGCGGCGGAAAAACCGCGCACCTCCGCGGGTTCTGCTCCGCCCGGGGTTCGCAGCCTTGTCCGCTTCCCGTTAGCAGGAGGTCTCCTGCGTGGAGAACACCACCACAAGGAATTGCTACTCTGCTGAACTGCCGGTTTCTGTTCAACACTCACGGGGCTGGCGAGATCCCTCCCTCTACCCCTCCTTTCACTCAGCCACTTGTTTAAAAATAAACTTAGAAGCCATCTTTATAATTTAGTTTACTTCCGAATATTTTAAATATTATGAAAAAAAGCCATAAACAACGCTGTTATTCAAAACATTTTGAGGTATAAAACATAAAAAGATTTGGGTTTTCTTTTTTTCATTTTTCTTTTTTTTTTTTTTTTGTTTTGTTTTGTTTTGTAAAAAACACACACAGTGGTTTATTGAGTACTTACAACGTTTACACCTTCAATATTAATTAGATTCCACTTTTTCCCTTACGGACGGAAGTGCACATAACCAATAACTGTTGAAAACATCTTCAAATACTGAACGACCACAACAAAATTACAACACTAAATACCGAGTCAACCGAAATACTGGTGCAACTGCTTCTGTTGAAATATAACTTTATAATCCCATGAATATTTATATCCAAAAGGCCAAGTATTAAAGATACACTTCACATACACACTAATGCCAGGGAGAGATTATTTTTTTTTTCTTTTTTTTTCCTTTTCTACGGTTCTGTTTTCCCCGTGTGTTTTATACAGAGCAAATAACATTCACGAAACTATTAGAGACATTACCCCTTACCAAGCTGGAGTTTCCTCTTCATATATGGAATGCTTTTTCCCTCTCCTTCAAATATCCACATTTTGGGGGGGGGTTGGGGGAGAAATTGCACATAAATAAACTGGACGATTCCAAATATAAAGAGTCCTCAGAGGAGAGCTCACTACCGAGACTAAGAGGACGGCTCCTCCAGTCCTGCCGTGCTCACTGCTTGAGCTCCAAAGCCCAGACATGCTGCGGCCAGCCAGTCCTCCCTTTGGTTTTCTTATCGTTGCTGCTAACTGTGCTTTTCAAGATTTCGTTCTGGGGAGACACGATGCGAGGCGGGAGAGAGAGAGAGAGAGAGGGAGAAAGAGAAAAACAGAAGGGGGGAGAGGAGAAAAAAAAGGTTAGAGATATTCCTCCCATTTCTAGGTCGCCTCTGCCCTGCCCCGAGGGGGAAAACTACGAGGAGACACACGGCCTGCGGGCCTCAGGGGAGGACGTGGGGCGGCCTCCGTGGGGTCTCGCTGCGGGCGAAGCCGCAGCCCGTGGGAGCGGCCCCGCGTGGTGCGCGGCCGCCCGCGAAGGCCGAGCCCCGCGCACCACGCGCCCGCCAGCGCTGCCTCGCCGCCGCCGGTCCCCGGGGCTGGGAGGGGCGGGGGGGGGGGGTGGACTGGGGACGGCTGCCGTCCACGGGGCGATGGGGACCGCGGTAGGGTCCGCGCTAAAACGTGTGTGTCCCCCACCCCACCCCGCCCCGGGCCGCTGGGCAGGAGCCGGGCAGCGGCACGTATCGTGGCAAAACATCGGGCCTGCGGCCACCGAAATCTGCGAGGGTGTCGCCCGAGCGTGCCGCAGGGCCTACACGAAACTGGGTTTGAGCTGCCTCGTCACAGCCGACGCTTCCCGTTAAAAGCCAAAAAAGCTCAAGCGTAGAGGGCACGGGGGCAGGAAAGCCCCGCGCTGCGAACCTATTACTTGCCGAGGGTTTCAAGCCGGGCTGGGCTTAGCAGGTAATCGCGCCTCCAGACTTTTATTTAAGAGAGCGAAGGCTTGTCTCTGATGGGATGGTGGTGTGGGATCCGGGACAAGCCCCAGCCCGGGAACGGACCCCCCCAGCCCCCCGGGGGACCTTCCCGTCGCGGCTTCCCGCCCCCCCCCCCCCGCCCGTTCACAGCCGCCGGGCCGGATCCCGGAGCTCTGCGAGAGCGGGGGGCGCCGAGGGCCTCCCGGGGCCGTGCCCTGCCCCGCTCCCGGCCCGCAGGAACGGCCGGGGACTGCAGGGACCGAGGTGTCCGCCGTGGCCATAACTCGGCCGCCCGACCTAGCCGAGCGCCGGGTGCGCGGGGATGGGGCACCGGCGGGCAGCCGGGCAGCCTCCTCTCCGCCGCCCCCCCCGCCCCGCCCCGTCCCGTCCCGTCCCGGAGCACTGACCAGCTCTTTCTTCCTCTTCTCCTCCTTCACGTCTGTCTTCTTGATCTCTGCCTTGAAGGCCTCAGCCTCCCCGTTCTGGTCGTCCTTCGCCAGCAGGTCCATGAGGTAGGCGATGTAGCTGGTGGCCAGGCGGAGGGTTTTGATCTTGGAGAGCTTGGTGTCGGCGGGCACGTTGGGGATGCACTCCCGCAGCTCCGCGAAGGCGCTGTTGATGCTCTGAGTCCTGCGCCGCTCCTTGCGGTTCGCCGTGCCCCTGCGCTTCACCGGCCGGGGCCCCCCGAGCCCGGGCGGGCCGTTCCCGGGCGGCACCCCCCCGTAATGGGAGTGGTCCATGCCCGGCGCCCCGTTGGCGTACTCGGGGCTGTAGGACAGAGCCATGCTGTAGTCGGGGGGGGACATCTCCGGGTGGCTGCTGATGAGCCAGCCGTGGAAGTAGGGGTTCTCCTCGTGGCCGCAGCGGGTGGCGGCGGCGGCGGCGGCGGCGGCGGCGGCGGCGGCGAAAGGGTAGCCCTCATGGTGCACCACCGGGTGGTGGGGGAAGCCGCCCACTAGACTCATCCCCGCTCCCTAGCGCACCCCACCCCGCCCCCCCGGGCCCCAAAACAAACGCTTTCCCCTCCCCGCCCGCCCCCCACCCCCCGCCGCACCGGCGGGAGATACTCCCCGCCGCTCACCCCTCAGCACTGCCCCGCTGCCCGCTGCCTCTCCATAGGGCGCTGCTGCAGAGTCCCCGCGGGTGCCCGAGCGATCCCCCCTCCCCAGGCGCCGCCGCCGCCGCTCATGCGTTGTGCCTCCACCTCCTCCTCCTCCTCCTCCTCGCCCGGGGCCGGGTCTTCGAGGAAGCGCGCACAGACAAAAAAAAAAAAAAAAAAAAAAAAAAAATTCTATGGAGAGAAGTCGACCAAAACAAAACGGCTTGGCTTTCCAGCCCGGGGATCTTCCTCGACTCTTGCTTCCCTCCGCTCTCGCCAAGTCCGACGCGGCCCGGCCGGCTGGTACTTACACGCAGCCCCCCTCCATGCGCCCCCGGCTCGGGGCGGGCGGGCGGGGGCCGTCAGTGCCGGGCGGGCTCAGGCATCCCTGCCCGCCGCGCCGCGGGGGTCAGCGCCCCGGCGCTCCCCTGGGGCATCCGCGCCGCTCGGCCGGGCGCGGCGGCGGCGGCGGCGGCGGCGGCGGCGGCGGCGGCGGCGGCGGGGCTCGGCGCGGCGCGGGGCACTGGCAGGGCTCCCCGGCACGATCTCCATGTACAGCTACATGTTTCGGGCCGCCCGGGTTAATATATGTCGTCAGAAGCGGCGGCCGCCAATGACCGGCCACGGGGGCGGGGCCCGCCGCCCTCCGCAATAAAACTTTTTGATGTTCGCTCTGCTAATTGCCCAGCTCCTCTTTTAGGATTGGCTGCCCCTCCGCATCCATAATGTAATTAAAACGAGGGGGGGGGGGGAAAAATTATCATGGAGGCAGAGGTTAATGCAAGTGTTCAGCAGATGCCCTACTGTAAAATCTGCATTAAAAAAACAAAACAAAACAAAACAAAACAAAACAAAACAAACAAACAAACAAAAACCCGGCCACCCAAAACAACAACAACAACAACCCCAAAGCAACAAACTCATTAAAACTTAAATATCGGATAATCTCAAACCAGGTACAGTATGGGTCCAAGGAATTTGTTGGCAAAAATCCGTGTGAGAGCTTGAAACGCTCCGAGGTTTCTTTTACAAAGTGCTTTGTGCCGGTCCGGCAGAGGAACAAATCCCACCAGCTTCGGAGGGCACTTTATCGATCGCCCAGTTGTGATAGGCATGCCCCCGCACAGCGCCCGGCTTATACTTTTATTGCTGGTTAATATACACAAAGAGATCCCCCAGTTCCCGTGAGGAGGGAGACGAAGCTACTCTGCCTTGTCTATCACCCGCCTGGCGATCCTAGCTAGTAAAGGCGGGCTCTGGCTTCGCGGCTGCCGCCTTACCGAGGGAGCGGGGAGCTCAGGGTTCGGCCAGGGACGGTATTTTCTCCAGAAAGAATTGCTTTGAGTCACTAACAATAATCCCCACTCTCACTGATTCTTTTCCAGCTTGCTGCCGGAGCCCACGCACCTCGGCCAGCGTTCGCCCGAATGACTTAGGCTCCTGAAATCAGCTTCATGCTTGCTTAACTCGTCTGATAGGTAAGTAACCGAATATTTTTTACAGCATGTTCAGAGCTTATTTTCTAGCTTTTACTAACAAATATATAAATATTTCGCCGCATTCCTGCTTCTGCAATAAAAAAAAAAAAAAAAAAAAAAAGACCAGCATCTGCGGAAAGCAGGTTTAGTTATCGAAAGGGAATAGTTAAATGTTTGTTTAACGGCCA